GATGGAGGGTTGAAAATCTACTGGAACTGCTCTTTTCCTTTGTCCATTAGACAAACTCCCGTAATGCTCAGAGCTTCAGCTCAAATGCTCCCTCGTCTAGACATCACCGCCCGACCCCATCCCCAAGAAAATGAGTGCTACCTCGCAGTGTATTCTCACAGTCCAGGACTGATCTTTCCTAGCTCTGTCCTGAAAATATTATTCCTGTCACCCAACTAGATTTTGATACAGGAATCATGTCTTTTGTACATCTGCATTTCCTTAGTTTAGAGGATGTTGAGAAACACAAAATAAATGTTAATGCAGGTTTGTTGAAAAAAAAAAAAGCCCACTGAGAATTTATGGAACTCCATAAGTGCATTGTAAACTGTACTGGGGACTGCACGTGTAATGTATTGGGATCTCTTTTCTTTTTAATATTTTATTTATTATTTTATGTGTATGAGTGTATTGCCTGCATAAATGTAGGTGCACCTGTGCCTTGCAATGTCCACAGAGGTCAGAAGAAGCATCAAATCTCCTGGAACTGGAATTACAGTCGATTGTTAGCCACCATGTGGGTGTTGGGAATGAAACCCAGGTCTTCTGCAAGAACAAACAGTCCTCTTAACACCTGAGTCATCTCTCCAGCCCCTGGGATCTCTTTCTAATGGTGGTAAATACCAGGGAAACAGATAGCAGAATGGATAAAATGAGTTCACCCATTTTTCTCAAACATTGGTCCATAGATGATATCCAATTTCAGTTACATTTTTACTAAGTCATAATAAAATAAGAGTAAAGTCATATAATGAAATTTTCTATAACCCCCCATGTGTGTAAGTGATAAAATATTTTGGATATAATAAGATAAATAGGATTTTGATTTTGCTTGTTTGTTTATGGCCTTACTTGATCATCTAAAAATAAGCAAGTCAATAACGGTCTGTGTAACAGTCAGGGTCTTAGCAGGAAACAGAATTCACCCCAGATGGTACAAATAACAAGGCTTTAAATGAAAGGACCTCTCACAGAGCTGGGAAGATTTCGAGAATAAACAAGGTAGTGAGGCGAACAGAAGGGTCAAGGGGAGGAAATAGTGTCACCAGAGCCTGGCAAGAGCTGGAGCCACAGAGAAGGCACCACTCAGCAGAAGACAACTTTGAGGAGACACCACAACTCCCAGCATGCAGTACTCATGTACAGTATCTCTTCTGCACTGCTAGGTCTTCCTGCCAAGGACTCTCATTGGACAAAGCCAACTGCAAGCTACCCAGCAAGGGAATGCCACTGTGCAGCCCATGGGGGTTGACCTCCTGGGCACAGAGCAGGACACAGGGATGGATGAGGGAAGGGGAGAGATGAGGGTAACTTGCATCATCTCCTTGGGTTTTTTTTTTAAATCTAATCTATGAAAACTCTTTGCTGATTTAATAGCCTGAGCATCCAACAGGGAAACACAGTCCTGAATTTTAGATTAATCCCTTGTATTAGTTACTTTTCTCATTGTTGTGAGAAAATATTTACAAAAACAACATAAGGAAAGAGGGGTTTATTTGGCTCACAGTTTGAGGGTACAGTCCATCATGTTGGGGAAGGCATGAGGCAGCTGGTCGCATTGTATTGACAGCCAGGAATCATAGAGATGAATGTTAGTTTTCTGTCTGCTTTCTCCTTTTTATTCAGTCCAAGATCCCAGCACACAGAAAGACACTGGCCACACCCAGAGTGGGTCTTCCCACATCATTCAAACCTTTCTGGAAACAATTTCACAGAAATGTTCAGAGGTTTGTTTCCTAGGTGATTCTAAATCCTATGGAGTTGATAATCAAAGTTGACATCACATCCCTCCTGGTGCTAGATGGGGAACCATAATCCAGCCCTTTAACATCTTAACACTATATTCTCTCCCTTTTGTGTGTTGGGGGGTGGGGGGCTTTATGTGTGTGTTATAAGTGTGGTACATGTATGTAAGTGGTGAGTGTGTGGGTGTGCACACCCATTCATGCCCATGCATAGGCCAGAGCAGGGCTCTGTGTCCTGTTTCTCTCAGGCTTACTGTCTGGAGACAAGGTCTTTCAGCGAACCAGAAGCTTTCCATCTTGGCTAGGCTGACTAGCCAATGAGCTCTCTCAGGATCTGCCTATCTCCACCCTCAGTGCTGGGGTTACAGGTACATGGAACCATGCCTGGTTTTTATGTGGCTGCAGGAGAACTGAACTCAGGTCCTTATGTTTTCAGAGCAAGAGCTCTTACCCCCTCAGCCATCTCCCTAGTCCCTCAGCACTGTATTCTTTTTACCTGCGAAGTGGGACTAGTGATCACTGTCCTATAAATCCCCAGGGCTGCTACAAGTTAAAAGAGGCAATTTATATTAAAGGGCCCATAAACTACAAAGTACTATATTATAATTTAATCAACACTTAGATGCCTTCTGCTAAGCCTTTAACAAATAGTAATCCAGGTACTCCCTCAGGCAGGTTTTACTCTAACATAGTGGGGTATATGCTTTTTTTCGAGAGGGGCAGGAAGCGTGTTCAGAAGACCAATGTTACCCTCATCTTTACTGTCAACGTTGTAACAGATACGCTTTATTCATTCTGAAGCAAGGAAGCTAAACTAATTTTTCCATACCAGGCTAAGAGGATTTAGGATATCTTGATAGTCTTATTCAAAATATGACTAAAATTTATGTTGTTTTCATATATTTCACTGCTCGAATAAAACAAGAACCAGTGGCAAGCTTTGGACACTGACTGCTGCCGTTGTTGTATTGCCACTGCATTATCAGCTAAAGTTAAGTCTCTGCAGTGGCCTAGGGCTAAACAGAGCATTCTCCTGGAAAAACGACACAGTTTTACACCATTTCTTCAGTTTGTTTATCCAAACACTCCAAAAAAAAAATCACCAGTCATGGACAGACACCTTAACAGCTTCCATCAACAACCACTCAATAATCAATGTGGTTCACTGTCACCCTTGGCTTTGCCAACTACCTAACCACAACCACCTACAAATTTGGGCCAGGGAAGGACCAGAAGAGTTGCCTGCTCCAAGCCTATTCTGAACACCCTTGCTTGTACCTGAGACCTTGATAAAACACGATCCTAACTCAACACAGATAAAGAATCTCCAGTGATCATTTCAGGGGCCATGCCTGGAGGGAAGAAAAATCTTTGAATTTGATAACACACTGTCCTAGAGTTGCATAAACCCCAAGCAGCAAAGGGATCACAGGAACAAGGCAGGTACTGAAGTCACAGAGGATGCAAATCTCAATCCTTCCCCACTACTAGGCACATAGAAGACCCATGATGAGGCTGAGCCTCAGTAAATAGGAAAATCATTTTGTCCTTAAAAGATTATTGTTGGACTGGAGAGATGGCTCAATGATTAAGAGCACTGGTTGTTCTCACAGAGGACCCAGGTTCAGTTCCCAGCACCTACATGGCAACTAACAACCATCTGTAACTCCAGTTCCAGGGATCCAATGCCCTCTTCTGACCTCCATGAGCATTGTACAACACAGGTGCACCTACCTACATGTAGCAATATACTCATACATATAAAATAAAAATAATAAGGAAAATAATTCACCTACCTACATGTAGCAATATACTCATACATATAAAATAAAAATAATAAGGAAAATAATTTAAAAATAGATTATTGTGGAAATAAATGAAATAATATATATATGATACCCTTGGTCTGGTACCTACATTTATCAGGCATTTAACAAATCAATGTAATGATAATTGTGAGGATCGATTACAGTGTCCCACATCAGAAGGGGTGACTGTGGATGAAGACATTTGAAGTGGATGACCACAAGACTTTTTCATTTGTTTAGACAGTCACTCAACAATCCTGGCAGACTACACTACAATGTCCCCCACACAGATCTAAACATTGCCCCTAGTTTCATGGTCCAGAGGTCAATGTAAAATTTAAAAATCATCAAGTAGGGCTAGTACAATGACTCAGCCTGTGAAGATTCCTGCTGCCAAGCCTGATGACCTGAGTTTGACCCCAGGGACCCACAGGGTAGAAAGAGAGAACTGACTCTCTTTCACTATCATCGTAGCAAGTACATGTCCCCACACCACAATAAGTGCAGAAATACAATAAAAAGTTATAATAATGATTACACAGAGCCTAAAGGGAATCTTTGTCGATGCCTTCACAGAAGAGAAGCTAAGACTTGAACGTTGAGCAGTTTTCCAAAACAGTGTTTTCTCAAACTCAGTTTTATAAAAGACCAGTTTTGCATTGGGGGGGGGTATGTTAGGGTCTGTGTATGTCTCTGTGTGTCTGTGTCTGTGTCTATGCCTGTGTCTGCGTGTCTGTGTATCTGTGTCTGTGTCTTATTTCCAATCATTTAAAAAATTTATTTTTATTTTATGTGTATGAGTACTTTGTGTAGGTAAGTGCATCCATGTTGTACAATGCCAGAAGAGGTTGTCAAATACCCTGGACCTGGATCTAAAGACAGTGGTTGTTTGCCGCCATGTAGGTGCTGGGAACCAAATCTAGGTCCTCTGCAAGAGCGAGTGTTCTTAACCACTGAGGCATCTCTAGCTCCTAATTTCCAATCTTTTACAAACTTGGTCTTAATACATGTGAAATTGACTAGTATGCAGTTTGTACCACCTGTGCCTCAAGTTCAACAATTCCTCAACTGGTCTATGACACATTCAATGAGACAAGTCCAAGCTCTGGGCTGTTACAGCAATATCAAGCTGATAGCAAACCTCTAAATTTTCACTACTCACTGCTGTACTTCTGTCACCCGAGTTCTCTTAGGGTCCTTTACTCCTGGCGCTATGCTCCTGACATGGGTTGACAAACCACATAACACATCTTTATCTGAATTTTTCATAGTCTATATCCTGGGTAGGGGAAATAGAGTAACTTACAAAGGCGAACACCGGGTGCCCCATTCCACTCTGTGGCTCAGCGGCCTGCCATTCCAGATTGCTTCCTTGCCCCACCCACAGTCTCCATTAGCTTTCGCTCACCTCCTCATGGGCCCACAGTCTCACTCCAGGTCAGTAAATGCCCCCTCTTGTTTCCACGAAGTTGCAACACCAGGGTCATTTTTTCCAGTGCCGCTGACTTCCAAGATGGTGCCATGCTCCTCCCTTCGTGGGTGACTCTCTGCAGCCAATTCTCTGCAGCAGGCCCCACCCCTTAAAGGAACATGTACCCCTCAGGACACAACTTCTTTTGTCACAAAGTGAAACCCAACAGAGCACAGCCTGGCAGTGGCCTGATTCTACAAGGCAAACTGGGATGGAGCATCTCAGACAGCTAGCAAAAGCACAGTGATAAGGAAAATGAAGTTTCCCCTGGGTGGTAAAGCACACAACAAACACATCTTTCCAGTGAGCTTCACCATTCTGACTGGCTCCTAGGTAAAGACAGCACTTTCTTTTACTATACTGGTGCTACTGCATTCTTGAGAATCAGAAGACAGAAGGGTCAGCAGAGGAAATGAAGAAAAATGAAGGGCATCATCTGCAGTATCTGCCCAGCTCCAGGTCCAGCACATTAGAGGTGGCTGATTTTATGTACTGTTCTCTTTGTAACTAAGGTTTCATCGTATAAGGAAAATCTGACTTGGGATTCTTCATCTGTGTGTAGCTTAACTTGGCATCTCAAAATATAGAGACGGGTTCATCCATGTTGAACACTTCTCACCAAGCACTTCCCTCTTCTTAGCCTGACTCACCTCACTATCCTTGTCCCTGAGTCACCCTTGAGCTAGTTAGTGGATGGAATCCTCTGGTCAAGCCAGTGGACATGAGTCAGTTGGCATGACAGCTGAGTTTTTCCCACACACAGATGAAGAACTTGAAATTATGGTGTGTGTCTTTTTTTTGACACAACTGTTCTCAAACTAAATATTCTAAAATGAAATATACTTATTGTACACAAATCCACAGGTCTGCTGTATGATTCTGCTGATGGTAGATCTTGGCTGGGCTTGCTCTTATGATTCACAGGGATGGATCAGCTGAGGCTATCTGTTCAGGAGGGCCTCACTCACATGGCTTACCAGTTATTGGCTGGTTTCTAGCAACTGACTAACTGGTTGCTGACCATGGTGGCAGGGTTGACTCATCATCCAGTAAACTGACTGGTTCTCCAAAAGAATCTGAGAAAATTGAGGTGTACAGGTCTCCTGAGGCCCAGGTTGAACTTGAACTTTACCACTGACATCTCATTCACTATGCTAAAGCAAACTAGAAGACAGACCAAATTTAAAGAGTAGCCAAAGGCTCCATCCCTTGGTAGATGCAGTTAGAGAGTCACATTGTTAAGGGCAAGAATTTGAGGGCATTGAGAATTGGGGACAGTTTTACAACCCATCATCCCATCTACTTCCACTTCACCTGTTGAGTATTTCTTCTCCAAGTGCTGCCTGCGATGTGTTGAACATTGGTATCTTCAAATTCTAGTCTCTGAACCCACAGGAAATTCCCCAAGGTATAAGCCAGTCTCCACCACTTTGCTAAGCAGAATTCACATCTTGGTATGTGTTTTATTTAAAATTCCAACCAGTATTGAGTTGGACATCTATTTGCAGGGAAAGAGGGTAGAATTAGCCAAGAAGTTCCATGAGAATACGTCATCTTTTGTCACATTGGGAAAATACATGCAAGAATGGGAGAATAATAAGATTAAAAATTTAATTCATTCCTTTAGTCATTCATTCAATAAATGCTGGCTTGATATACCTAATACTGATGCATGGTATACCTAAGGTGTTCATGGTAATAAAGATATTCCATACCTATGAAGTATCCTTGAGGAATTATGACCTCCGTAGTAAACACTGGAGTATTTGGTATCCAAGTTGCCCTGAAAACTACAGATGATCGTTCACTTCTTTCTTTTTTCCAGTAACAATGGGGTTCCTCAAAATCATGGATCTCACTTTATGTACATATAACACATTAACTGCTCAGTAACTGGTTGCTGAATTGAATAAACATCTAGAACAAAAGAACACTATAAACATTTAATGTAAAATTCACTCCAGAGATAGAATGTTTTGATTTACCATTATCCAACATTTAATGGCATAAACACATGGAAAGGGCTTCATGACTCTCTAAGTCAAACAACAAGAACATTTTTATTTTCCCCTCTCCCTTGCAGGGCCATCTCCTTCTTAGTTGGAAAGGGGAAGAAGATAAACAGCAGACCCAAGCATGTTTGAAGATGGACTATCAACTAAGGATCTACTATATCAATTTACCACCAGAAAGGATGAAGGCACTTCTCAGAAAAACCTTACAAAGAAGAAAGGCCCTGAGGGCAGAACCAGGAGATGTTTTCATCCTGGAGATGGACATTGAGTAAGGTCTCGAGGCTTCCTCCTGCAGGGTCAGAAGCCACTTCACAGCTCCAGAACAGATGATTCGAAGAAGGTTCAAATGCCTCCAGGAAGAGGAGGGGGATTTCAATCCAGGCATGAAAGAAGAAAGAACAACCTCCCCAGCTTCTCTGTCCCAGGCTCTCAGTCCTCTTTACCAGCACCAGGCCTGACAGGCCAAGGTAGCCAACAGAGGAAAAAATCTCATTGAACAGCACCAACTTGAGCATGTGCCAACACCATCTACAAGTTCCACAGATTGAGGGACAGAGGCAGCTACACACCCATTGAATTAAAGATAGTGGATCTCTAAAGATGGACCTGACATTAGCCCTACATCACTGGGCCTGGTATGTCAGGAGAGCTGCTCAGTTTCACAAATGCGATTTTGCCCATGTGCCTTGAGATCTGAAGCGCTAATGTTCCATTTCGTTCTTTAATGGCTTTTTTTAAAAAGCAAAGACTATTTTTAATTTTATTTACTGTTTTTATTTTATTTGTATGAGTGTACTGTCTGCATGTATGTTTGTCTGCACGTATGTGAGTATACCCGAGTCATGTAATGCCCCCGGAGTTCAGAATAGGGTGTCGGAACTGGATTTACAGACAGTTGTTAGCTGCCATGTGGGTGCTGGGAGTCAAACCCAGGTCCTCTGCAAAAGCAGGTAGTGCTCTTAACCATTGCACCATCTCTCCAATTCCACAAAGATGATTTTCAAAAGCAATTTTAGATTCATAGTAAAAAGTAAGCAAAACTAAAATAGCTATTTTAAAACTTATAATTGGAGTCAATAAATATGCTTTGAGTTTCTATTACGGGCCATGTGCTAGATGGAAATCTTGCAGATAAGATGGCATTGTCCTGATGCCAACATGCTCCCAGTGAGTAAGAAGGAAAATAAACAGATGATTGCAAGATAGGAGAATAATCACTGGGACAAAGGAAAGTACAGAGGTCAGAGTAACACAGAAAAGAGGTTCCTGGTGCCTATAGCAAACTGGGGAAGTCATTTGGATATACAGTGCTTGAACTGAACCACATAGAATTCATAGGGTTTTCTATTAAGTTAGGGGACAGTCCAGTCTAGGAAATTTTGCTGTCCTTACTGTTCTGTACCCAAGCCCAAGGGCAAAGGAGCCTTAGCAGAGTCCCTGCAGTTGCATTTTCTAAATCCAGGACACCTCCGTATGCTCTGATTCTTCACTTTCTCCCTTTTTCTCCTGTTCTTATTGTGAATGCGGCTCTTCGTAGGCATCCAGATGCTGAGTTCCAAACTTGGATTTCAGTTTCTGCCCCTGATGCTACACTGTCCCCTTGTCACACTTCTGCCCTACCCACAAGAACATAGAGATGAGTCTTTCCCCTCACATCTCAAAGGAGCACGAGGACTTTGACCCTCCTGGCTGGGAAGAGAGAAGGAGGTAGAAGTCATTGCAGATGGTGGGGGCAGATAAGCAATGGAGAAGTCCCCTCTGTCAAGACTGCTCACTCTACCAGGACTCTAGTGTCCTAAATAAGGTACAATGAAGTGTCTGAGAGTCATGGGGTCCAAGCCCAGAGAATTCTAAGTCCTCCAGGTTGTAGGCAAAGCCTCATCTATATAATATCATCCAAAATGAAGTGATTGGAGAATTGGATTTCAAAATACCTCAGGTTTTACATTGATCTTCGTCAATTTGAACATTTCTAACAGGCATTAAGTGGACAGACTTAAGGATGACTCCCTGCAGTTATTTTCTCAGAAAGATGACCAGATGCAGTCATTACACCTAGCATGGCAGTCCCTCACAGAAGGGAGCCTTAATATAAACACTGAGGGCCTGCTTCTGCCAGGCCCTGTGTCTTGCTGAAACCCTTCAACACAATTAAAATTATGTATCCCATTAACAATTTCCATAGGCTCTTCCTTCTCCCTTCCCCTAAAGTAGAGTGCCTTCTTAGAGCCAATCCTGGCCTCAGTCTACCATCAAGCCCATTGATAAAAAGCTGAATTAGTCCATGAATAAGAATCTTCTTTCCCACTGTACTGTGAGCTCAAGAGTGCCAGAGCCACATCTTAAGACACTTGTTAGGTTGTATGTTGACACAGCACTAAGCAGCATGTGATGAGTCACACAGCCTTTCTGCAAGGCTGGAGGAAATAATAGGACAGAACTCAGCAGGTCACTAAGATAACATTATATATAATGATGTATGGAAAATCCCCAGCATGGAGCAAAACATGGTTGCTGTCATACTAATATTTTAATTAACTGTCTCTTGGTCTTTGTTCTTTCATCAATTAAGAAGCAATGAAGTAGGTACTTCACTGATTTATAGAAAGCAAATGAGACAATGTATGTGGAAACCTAGCAAAATAACACTTACTATGAGCTAATCTGTTAAAAAAAAAGGCACTTAACAACAATGCACTGGGAATTTACTTCTTGGCTTAAACGCCAAAGCAAGTGAGCCTGCACTTTCAAGGAGAAGACCATAGATACTAATGTCTTAAAGAAGTTAGTGAGAGGCAGAGAGTGAATTGCAAAACCGTGCTCCAGGAGTTGACTCAGTTTCTCTTTGATCCACTGGGCACACTTGAGCATCTACGGAGCACCAGGGTCTGAGCAGGTGATGTGATGTATGCCCTAGTCAGCAACTTGAAACATCAAACTGGCTTCTTTGGCTCCAAGCCATCTTCCAACCCAGATCATCAAAGGATGGCATGCATATAAAGTACCAAAAGAAATGACTGTTTTTCCATTTTTTAACATAAAAATCAAGTGA